GGGGGGGGGGACGGGACAGAAAGACAGGGAGATCGAAGTTTAGTTTCCAAATATCAATAAGCAAGTACAAGAATTATTTTAAACCATGTCTGAATAGTTTCTCTCGCTTTCTGATCTCGGAAAACAACAAGTTACAGTAGGAGAAATCCAAACATCCACACCGAGCCTTTAACAATCCAAACAAGCTGACTACTTTAAACAAGCATTTAAAGGAGAACACTGAAAAGTAATGAGCACTAACTATTTTTAAACAAGAGCAGACAGATGAGTCATCGCTCTCCCCAGCTGACATGCGCCTCCCGTGGTGTACATACTAAATAAATTGAAACGGAATCCCTCGAGAAAAGTAGCGCCGACTAAGTCAGGAAACAGTTTAGTCAATATCTGAAGAGAGATAAAAATAAAATAATAAAAAAAATAAAAAACTGCGCCACGGTTCACCTCCTTAAATCCCAGAAGCGAGACAAATTGGAACGTGGAAATTTCTGCTCGGCGCCGTTTGTGACTGCGTGTGTGAGGGAAACAATTACCAGGTTGAATCTTCAAGACTCTGATATGATGAAGATTCTTCCTTTCTCTCATTTTTGTCTGTGTGCATACGTGTGTGTGTGTGTGTGTGTGTGTGTGTGTGTGTGTGAGCGTGTTCTTCCTGCCAGACGCGGGAGGGAGGGGATGCAGAATGTGAAACAGCAGAGGGACAGACGGTATTAAAGAGAGCAGCAGAGAGACGGGGTATTTAGAGTACAATACTAGAGCTACTAATCCAAAAGCTCTTTAACACACAAATCAGCCTTCCCACCCCCGACTCAAACTAAATATGGACACAAACAGAAACACTTCTGTTCCCAAATCTGAACCCCTCATCACACCAGCCAGATATTGACAAAAATGCCCGGATCATAATCAGTCTGGTGGAGATTTCTGTTATTATCTTCCAGGACTAAATTTAATAACCGCTTTATTTTTTTTATTTATTTTTTTGCTGCCACAAGCTTCAGTGCATTTCATTTTATGTGAAGAGAAATTTAGCCTCAGTTATTTCAATCTTTTAAAGGATCAAAATCTGAAAAGTGCGGCGTGCGTTTGTCTCACACGATGAACAGAATGACCCTTAAAACGGGTTGAACCTTTGCCGATGCCGTCTCAAACAAGACGTGGAAAAATGAAAGTAAAACTCTCCATGGAGCGGCCAAAATCATTTCACATTCAGAAGAGAAGCCGGCCTTCACAGTCGTTACATAATTATACATTTCTGATTATTTGGGCTAATTAGGATCACTCACATAATTAGGCTTATACGTTTCTAATCCACAGCCAAGTCATAAAATGCGGTGTAATATTTTCAGATGGCTTTCCGTCGTCTGACAGACTGAAAAGTTCAAAGAACACTATTATTTACTCATCAGGCTGATGCCTCTTCAGGTTTTGGGTTTTGAGGTCTTACCTTCCAACTCTGACTTCGAACGTCCCCAAAGTGTACAAACACACACCGCAGAAGCAAAACTGTTGCTTGACATAAAGCGGTGATTTTGAAATCCAGAAAAAAAAAAAAAAAGTATTATGCGACAAAGAATCTATCAAACACTCTATAATCATGTCACTTTTGTTCGGATTATTTTTAATACAGCAGGAAGCTGGTTAAAATGTTTTGAATGTTGTTCCTGTATCTTCTTATGTTACAGTTCTCAAAAAAGAAAATGGAAATCAGTGCAATTATAGAACAAAACAAAACAAAAAAAATGCATTAAAGCTTGTGTCTTAATACATTTTATAATAACCAAAAATCATCGATACGCCAATCAATGGACAGGGCACACAATAATAGCAGATAAATTGAAGATCCCATCGCTATTATTTAAATCTAGTTAAAATCCTTGTGCAGGTTAATCAGAAAGCTCTAACAGATCGATGCTGAAACTAAATACAGAGACTGAAAAGCCTTTTTTTTTTCTCTCCAACAAACAGCCACTCCATCAGTTAATTCACTGCAACCCTCAGTGTTATGACCACCGTAATAAAACCAGTGGAGCTAGTCCTGACAGGAAATCTCTTTCTGTTCCCCCTCTGCCTCCTGCTTTAAAGTAAAAGCACGTCTAATGAATAACTAAAATTCCTTGTGCCACTCGGCTGAACAGTCCTGATCTGTTTAAGGTCAGATAAGTTTGCAGTCAAATCCACACACAGGCCCACAAACAACCTCAGCGGCAGTAAAAAAGATTTACTGTCAGAGTGGTCGTTTGCTGCTTATTGATTCTCCATCCTTTCCTCCACTGGCGCTCTCTCTCTCCCTCTCTCTTTCTCTCTCTCTGTCTCAATTGTAAACTTAACACTCTTTCGCTGATTAGATTTCTAACTTTCTCCTCTCAGTCTCTATGTCACTTGCGGCATTTGCAGGTTGAATACTCTGATTTAACACCACAGTACTTTCCTGCTCTGGTGTGCTAGTAAACCTCCCCCCCCCTTCCTCCTTCAGAAGATTAAAAATCTCACGGTGGATTTCAGCGTCTCCATTATCCTAAACACACATGATTAAGCACCAGACTCCCGCGCAGGGTGACTGCAGGATTAGCGCTCGCTCTTACTCTCGGTGTAAGATGACTGGTTCTTACTCTAGAACCAGTCATCTCCCAACTTCTCATAAGTAACGAGAAGATGAATCAACGTTACGAGGCCGCACTTCCTCTCTACAGAGAGCAGGAAGAGTGACATATTACAGATAATCTCTATGTAATTTCCATCTGCAGCCAGTGGTCATGGTGTGTGGTTAAAGTGCCGCTAAGTCCTTGAAATGTCACGGCGCGGCCATGACATTATGCTATGGAAGACTGCCAGTCCGACTGTAGTTTCAGAACAAATCAAATCAATGGGAATAAAGCCGGCATTCACCGAGATCTGCACGCCTGCGTGATGCGGATTTAACCTTGTGAGCTGCGCTCAACGTATGTTTTTCCTGATTGGGAAAAAAAAAAAAAAACTAAATAAATCATGAGCTCCGTTTCATCACATGGCAGGAAACCCGCCCCAAAGGTCAACCTAATGTCACGGATGCCATCGTCACACCTTCAGCTTCCTGCTGCCAGCCCCGTTACAGTGAAGCGTTTGGATTTTTACAGCACCGTACGAAGAGTTTTTATAACCTCTGAACATTAATCTTGCACTAATGATTAACTGCACACCATCTTGGGGAAGAAGGAGATTGAAATATGGAGCACGTTCAATCCGACGTCTGACACTGCTATGTTGTGTCAAAGTTTGGTGCTGCTTTCTTTATTTAACAATCAAATCTCCCTTATAATTACTTTAATTAGAAAATAATTATTGTAAATGTAACTTAAATTGGTTTGGAGGGGGGGGGTGCATTTCCAGTTTGGACGTGTTAAAATGCCACTTTCACCAAGTGCAGCTTAAACAGACGAGATTTGTTTCCCTCCCGCTCATCATTTGGTATGCATGAGTGTTTCCACCAACCTTTAATCGGCTGCTTGACTTCGCCGTTCTCTCTCTTGATCTCATTCATCACTTTGTGCTTTTTCTTCTCCTTCTCTCGTTCTTTCACCTTCTTCTTTTCGCGAGCCTTCATCTTGTCCTTGTTGGGGTTTTCTGCAAAAATGGATAAGATAGGGTTTCATTATTGCAGACCACACAAGTTGATGAGCACTTAGTCCAGGTAATTTTTTTTTTTTTTTAAACCAGAAAAATCTGTTAAAAATTTTAACATTCCTCTTTTGTTTGCTGGAGTGTTTTTTTTTTGGAAAGACACAGAAAGGACGCTGACTAACACCCACAGTTCCCGGCTGAGCAACGAGCCTCCACGTTTCTCGGTAAAACTTCCAAGTTTGATCCAATCTTTTTATTACTCACCCTCTTTGATCATTTGCTTCCTTTCACTTCCCATAAAAAATTCATTTAAAAAAAAAACCCTGATAACTTTCTTCTTTGAACCCCGTCAGCAGTAGCAGCTGGTAAGAAGGAAGCTGTGTTTTCATACTGCGGGTAGAAGACCACAGTCTAGCTCTGCTCACCGTTTGCAGGATCAAAGATAAAAGAACCCTTGCAGGAGCGCAGAAGAATAATAAGTGAACCGATTCGACATCAACACTCAGATAACTCAGTAAGCTGGTGACTGAAATCTACCAATTTTCAACTTGACCAGCTGACCACAAAAATTCACAGATTGGTAAATATCATTAGTGTCCACATAGATGTCAGGGAAATAAATCAGTGGAGGTGACCATTTAAAATGTGAAACACTGTTTCACAGAAATTAAACTTTTTTTCACACACACACACACACACACAGTGTGACGTCAGCTCTGATCCCGTCATGAATAATGAACGACAGCTCACACCAGAAACTGAAGAAAGAAACATTTCTGCTGCTACAGCTCTCAAAGAGGTATCGGTGACCTTTAGCATCTGCTTCCGAGACTCTGTCCAATTGTCTAATTAATACATTAACAAATAAAATGCAAGTTCATAACATTTGGAATAAGCCAACAATTATCGCACTCGGATTTTGAAAGGTCGATATTTTGCGCAGCCTTAATAGAGTGGTCCGTCAAAATTTAGAGAGGGAAAGCTACTCAATACACTCAAGTGCCTCATTTTATAAATTGAACATCAAGAATAAAATAAATGTCAGATCACTCAAAGAAATTAGGAAAATAAAAGCTGCAGGTTTCATATCAATTTGGCTCCAGAGGAAGCGGCAGGCTTTAGTGGAGGGAGCCTCAACTTTACTGCCAGATTTATAGAAAAATGAACCCTGCCAGAGGTGTCAGATTCATAAATGGTCTGTTCCTGCGTCTAGGAGACGGCAGCCCAGGTGGTTGGCCTAACCTCAACTGCACTGCAAAGAGAAAAGGGGAAAAAAAGCAGACTGCATCGCAGCTCAATACAGGGGAATTCCCCATAGAAATGAACAGAAACTTTCTCATAGGCTTCATTAGTTCTAATATGCAGACGTCTGTGGCGATATAAATGAATGTGCAGCCCTTTTCTGGTTGTTTTGTTTTCTGATTTTGCTGCAGCCGTCGGTTTTGAAGGGGAGCGCAGCGGGTGGTTTTCACCATTCCGATGATCACAGGAGAGACGCCAGAGGCAGGCGGCTCGCAATCTCCAACTACACCACCCGTTGCTCGCATCCAGCGTCTTAAATTCAGGGGAACAAAATGAGAAAACAAGACGTACGCTTATATCAGCGTATGCGTTTTTGTTTGATGTCTGTTTGGGGGTGGGGGGGATGCAATTTACAATGAAAAACAGCTTTCACCGTCTGTGCTCAGTTTTGCTCTCATTTCGCCGCTGTTTAAAACTTGTGCATTTTGCAGACATTTCTGAGCATAACCCTGCAACATGGTGACCCCCGGTGACCTTTAAATGCAGGAGAACATTTGGACCTGCAGCAACATAATATTGCTGCTGTACAAATCTTGACATAGTAAACCAATACTGACAAACTGCCTCTTTCAGTTTCAACATCTGTCCATCAATAAAAAAAAAATAATAAAAAAAAAGCCATGCACTTTTGTTCTTTTTTTAAACAAGAACACAAACGCACGAAAGAAAAGAAGCACTCTGCTTAGTTTATTGGATGTTTCGTGTTTGAATACGGGACACTCAAAACAAGCTCAAACACTGGCGTGCCCAGGAACGTTGGGAAGCATAATCCATCAAGCCTCTGTCGCATTCTTAAAGTTATACAAGTAAAAAAAATAAAAAAGGAGCTAAATGAAGACCATATTTTTTTCCAGGAGGCTCATACTGTGGATCTGTCAACGGCATGTCAGCACACACATGGCCCCTGAATGAAACTGAATTTATTCATCATAAAAAAAAAGTGCATGAAGTCAGATTTTTGATTCACAAATAGCTACAGGCAAGAAGATATCCTTTATTTCCAATGAAACAAGCTGAGCACACCAACGTCTTACAAAACGGAAACCTCCGCATCAATATGCTGCTTCTGGTATAGCAAGTCCAAGCTTTTCAAGAAAATAATATCTAAGAAGGCAAACCAAATCCAACCCAGGCGTAACTCGGACTAAGACGTTTGAGCAACTTAGAGCTCTTTTAATAGGTATCAGAGAAGACTCCAGGGTAAACAGACTTTATGGGTCCATTTGTTTCTTGTTTTTTCAAGAGTCGAATATGGAAAATATTTGCTGAGGGGGAAAAAAATACTCAAGATACCAGGAGCATGTTGATTAAGCAGCAAACTGTAGCTTCTACCTGAGCAGACAGCATGGCTAACGAACCAGCTAGCATAAGCTTGTTGTACTGATTTGCTTTACAGAGAGCAAAACCATAAAAAAGTAACATTCTGCACAATAATCACTCAAAGAGTGAGATATTCTGTGACCTTTTATGCAAATCTGTTGAGTCATCTCTTAGTGGCTAAGATAACTATTAAACATTTACATCAACACAAAGTCATTTTTTAACTTCCTAGTAAACCCTTTGACTTGCCCAGGTATAAACACAAGTCAGAGTTAGAAGGAAAACAAAACAAAACAAAAAAAAAATTAAATTGTGACATTTGTTGCATGTTTCCATCAATCGACAGTGGGCTGAGGATGTTACTTAAGCTACTTAAACATTAATTATTGCTGGTTGTTTTTTTTTTTTTTTATTTACTTTTTTAAATTTATTAACAGAGTAAAAATTTGTTCCACTTTTTTCCCCCCCTCACAAAATGTTGATTCCATTCTGAGAATCGTCTTAAAACGTTTACATTCACTATCCCGACAGCAACCAACCCTTTTCTGTCGCAGGACCGAATGCAGTCGCTGTTCCTTGAGGGAAGCGCCAACGCCAGCTAACACTAATAATATTACTTGATGATCTGATACTGCTTGGATCCTCGTAGGAGAATTCTTGCCCTTCAAGAGAGAGAGAGAGTACAGTGCAACTTTAAGAAAGAGTTTCTGAACCTGTTAGTCTCCATGCTTAAACTCCATCTGAGAAAAATGTTTAACACCAGTGAAAGGAATGTTACTAGACATGTCAGAAAATAATAGTTCATGCTGCAACTATAGATGTCGAATTAATAGCGTTAAAGGAAATCATTTACCTTATTTTTAAAGCAAGAATACACAGATTTATACCAATTTTGATCAATTCTGTGGTTGTATAAAGAACTGCCTGCTAGTTTTTTTTACACCAACAATATTAAAGTATTTTTTTCGCCCCCCCCCCGTCTGTTTACAGCACTGTATCTTCCAACCTTTCGGGTGGACTTGGGCAATAACATCCTATCCTAGTGTCCAATTTGACAGCAGTAGCTGTTCACAGTGTGTCATGACCTCTTAAACTGACCAACTGGAAAAGGGTGACGTCATGCGCTCACACACACCGACATGTGTCCACCGGATCTCCCCGCCGGAGTCAGAGCACTAAAAACGTCCATTTGTGAGGAGACACAGACACACAGAAAACAAAACGCGGGTCTGTCCGAAAATATGTCTCCCCTATATGTTTTTTCACATTACAACCACAGACGGCAACGTGTTTTATGAGGACTTTAGGTGATAGACCAAAAGAATATAATGCATAATTACAAAGTGGAAGGAAAATTCTACAATGTTTCCAAAGTCGATCTCGCTGTATACTTTACTGTCGGGATGGGTGAGCTGTGTTACTTTTCTCCCACACAATCTGGATGTTGGTCACGTTGTTCAACTCTGGTCCAGTTTTACCTGAACATCTTGCCGTGTCCCAGTCATGCCTTTTGGCAAACTGAAAACAAGATTTATTTCCATAATAGCTCTCTTTTGCTAACACTTCCATAGAAGCCAGATTTGTGGATGATGAAATAAAGATGTCTATCAACGTTTGGGATATTGTTTCCTAACCTAATCCAACTTTAAACTTCTCCAAAACTACATCCCCAGCTTGTCTGCTTTATTCCTTGGCATGTATTGAAGCAATTTGTTGACTAATGTTCTCCAACAAATACAGAACAGATGTATTTATACTGAGATTAAATTACACACAGGGCAACTCTAGTTATTAATTGTAAGAGACTTCCGTCTGGTTGCATGGTATTTCATCTGAGGGTACCAAAACAAATGGGCCCCACAGTTACACCAGATTTATTTTATTTATTTTAGGAAAACTTTAAAACTAAAAACATGCCACACTCCTATTTTAGAGCTGGTTGGTCAACCAAACAATATAAAATTCATTGGGATTCCAAGTTCTATAATGCAAAGTTATTTATATAATAGACGACAACCAAATTAAAAACTAATTCAGGAATACTATCGCTAGATTACCCACAACTCTGCATGGACAGATGTTACTGGATTAATAAAAGTAATTTAAGTCAGTTTAAGATATGTCTTTTGACATATCTTAAAGTCTTAAAGCTTATTTTAAGCTTTAAGACTAAAGCTTAAAATAAAATGTGTGATTCAGAGTTAATAAACATCTTATTGGCTATAACTTGAATAAACGTGGAGAAGTAAAAAGTGTATGAATACTGATATACTGTGGCTCTCACCCTGTCACTAAAATATAATAAAGATGCAGAATTGTTGTTGCAAAGACTGCATGGATTCAATATTTGGAATAGGCAATATTATTGAAGTAGTCTTGCATTTAAACTCAGCTTTCAAATATTAAAAGTGGCCAGTCTAGTCAGATGCCCTGGCATTGCTTTTATACACTTGGTAAGATGAAGCAGCTCAGGGAGATTGGTTCAACCAATGTCATTACGTAGAAGAAATAGAAGAGGAAAAAAAAGTAAATTGAGGATTTGTGCCTTCAGACAAAAACAAACATAGTACACATAGTAAATTACTTTCAATTTGCAATGGTTAAGTCGTAGAAGGACTGAATAGTTTATTTGGGTAACTATATGTGACAATGTTAGTGTTGCTTCTCAGAATGTGTAGTACTTAACAACACAGTTTGACAGTGATAACACATAAATCCTAAATACAGTTAAGGTGAAACAAATTGTGATTATTTCTAAATGAATTTCTGCCACCTTCATAATTGTTTAAGCTAGCTCAGGACGCCGTCTGACTGCTCATCCATACAGCCTGGGGTTACAGAGGGGGGCGTGGTGCACTACCAAAACAACACTTAGCCTATAATGGCGGGCGGCTGTCATATTGTTTTGACAGAATGAGCGTGTAGTTCTTCTACGCTCACAACTCGTAATAAAAATAAACCTTAGAAGCATAAAAAATAAACAACTTGGCTCGGGTTCTAGGTGGACATTTGGTTTAGTTTCACTATAATTGCCGTTTTCGAATAAAATGTGCAACATTGTAGCCATACGTCGTAATTACGTAACTATTCGGCCGCAGCACGAGAGCGGCTGATTATAATTCCAACTACCAGGTCGCGCGACGGACCGATGCTCTTTCTAGAGCTCGAGGGTTCACGCGCGGGTGAGCGAGCGACAAAAAAAAAAAAAAAAAAAAAAGCTGGCAGAGCGCAGCCCGTAGACACGTCGATCAAACCGAGTTTAAAAATCACTAAACATGTTGTAAACATTCCCCCTGTCGTTCAAATGTCGATTACAGAAGCGCTTGGCTCGTTTGTGTATGATTTCACGAGTGATGATTTTAAAACAGGAGCTAAAAGCGGGACTGCTGGGATAAATTAAAAGGCAGCCACTCTCTGGGTCAGGGCCACATGTTCAAATAGCTGAATCTACCAGCCAAGAAGCTATAAAAGGGCACAACTCGAGACTACTTATTAGAAACATGAAAGTTCTGGTATTAAAGACGTAAAAGAAAATTATAATGGCCTACCTTTTGATGGTAACAGGACATCTCCATTTTCTCTCTTCGCTGCAGAAACGTTGTTAAATCCTTTAATGTCGTTGCTGTTAGTAACATTATTCCCAACTCCGGAGGTCACCAACAGTTTATGTCTCTTTTTCTCCTCCCCGCCTCCTTTCCTTTTTTCTCTCTCCTTCTGTTTATCTTTACACTTGGTTTTCGAGGAAGGCGCCTTGTGGAGGAAGAAATCGCTCTGTTTAAAGACTTTGAGTGGCTGGGATCCATCGGTAGCAGGCACCGGAGGGTTGCTGCTGCTGCTCGTCTTACCCGGGCTGAAGCTCCATAAGCCCGCGTTACTGCTACTACAATTCTGCTGCTTAGTGAGCTGTTGGGTTTTCTTTTTCCCGCTTCCGTTGTTTCCATCACCCCCGTCCTTGCTGACTTTCTTGGGTTTAACGCTCCTATCCTCGACTCGGACCTTCTTGGGTGGCGGTGGGCTAAAATCTCCGGAACACTGCGGGCGGTTGTCAGCGGCTCCCTTCGACTCGGTTGCCTTACCGAGTCCGTTTTTGACCGAAGCTCCGGCAGCGGAAGGAGAAGGAGCAACAACCAGAGCTCCGGAAAGGTGAACAGAGCCCTGCGAGTCAGCCATCTTGAGGCTTCTCCCTCTATTTACTCTCTTCCCCAACGGCCGCCGATGCTGCTGTTTTTTTTTTTTTTCCGCGACGTGCAAGCTATGTGGGGGCGGGGCTTCGCCTTGATTGACAAGTATGGAATCGGGGGCGTGGCTAGATTATGACTGACGGCAGGGGGCGGGGCTAGCCTGCATAAATAAGGAACTGTTTTTCACATCAGTGAAGCCTCTCTGTTTATTAAAGTTAAAGTAATTTCAATATCTCAGACACTGAATAATGTAAATTGACTCAAGTAATTTTGTCAGAGAAAAAAAAATGCATTTACAACTACATCAAAACTCAATTTAGTAAACTATATTTTTGATTTAATAAAGCACATTTTAGTATTCATTGATTATGAAAATAATTTAGAAGTCAGACAACGATAACCTAAATAGATGCAAAATGCAGTTTTAATTTTATTTATTGGGGGGGGCGGGAGTCCAAATCAACTTGGTCCAACTTTTCCTAAAAATAACAGTGGCCTAGTCAAAGTCCTGACTGAAATCTGATTGACATGCTGTGGAGGTGCATGAAATAGGTTGTTCATTCTTGAAATCTTGTGGTGAGGCTGAAATAAAACAATTCAGCAAAAATTCCTCCTCGCTAATTTAAAAGACTCTGCGAGTTTTAACAAATGCTCCATGGCAGTCGTTGGCACAACCAGTTGTTACATTTGGAGCAATCACTTTCACATAACATGAGGTTGGTTCGGATATCTTTTCTCCCTTGACAGATGCCAGCTAATCTGATTCAAAGCGTTACTCTTCGATAGTTTTAATCAAGTCAGTATGAATGCGGCCCCTCTTGTTATTGTAATTAAAAAGATAAGCCTTCTGTTTGTTTGTTTTTTATTTATCTAATATACAGCAGCAGGCTCATCACTCTCACTTTTTATTATACGAGGTTGTAAATCTTCTGGCTAGGTTTAAACTCTGATTCACTGAATTGTAAATGTTTTCTTCAATTAAAAAAAAAAAAAAAGGCAAAATGTTAGCAAACAACAGCCAGTTATTAACATTGCAAACCGCATCAGATGTTGAGATCAGATGAGAGCTAGAGGTGGGAACTGGAGTTACTCTGATTCAAACGCAGTTATTTCCTGCAAGTTTTCTATTTCCTACATGCTTTCAAACGGAGCTGACACAGTTTGCGGCATCTTCAGACGCTACAGCTACACACGCTCAGCTGTAGCTGGTTATATTTATAACATTACATAACGAGTTAAAGTGCTCATTGGGGAAACTGAGGTGTCCCAGTTAAGGTAGCAACCTGGCTACATTTGAAACATTCTTAATTCATAGTATGCCAAATAAAATATCAGAGCTTGGATCAGTCCCTCTGGATGTTTTTCCCAGAAAGAATGGTGGGGATTTTTTTTGTTTTTTTTTTGTTTTAGTTATGCACACAGTTCAGTCTGTATTTGGGGTTAAAAAAAAAAAAAAAAAAAAAAAAAAAAAAAGCACCTTTGGGTGGAGCTGTGTAAGATTATTCCAATAGCTTTATGAAATATTCTTAATCATTAAAGCATAAAGATCAGGACGTTCAAGCCATGCATTAACCTCTAGTGTACGTTATGAGTGTAAATAAGATGCATTAATGATTTCCGGACTGTTGATGAAGCATCCTGTTAATGCCTAATTAATTCCCTGCCCTTAAACACAAAGTTGCCGACCCTTCAATTTAGCTAATTTAAATCTAAATTAGATGTTATTAATTTACACGAGTGCAGTTTCTCTTCCTTTAGCAGAATTCACAGTTACAGTAATGCACTTAAAAAAAGATGGATGGTCCATTAACAAAGGCTGTAAAGGAGCATGTGGATCAGATGTCAATTGTTTAACACCAAGAGGTCATGCGTTTTATAATTATGATTTCATGTCTTGCGGGGTGTGTTGCCAGATTTTTCACCAGTGTGTGTGTGTGTGTGGCCGATTCAGGATTCAGCGTGGGAACTGGCTCCCTCTGAGGTCATTTTAACTCTTTGACCCCACTAGGATCACCTCTGGTCTAATAGCGAATCTTATGTCATGATTTTTCCAGTTAAAATCACTTTCATTTTCCCGATTTAAAAACAAAAGATAATGAAAATCTTTATACATTTCATTTTCTTAACTGAACTTAGATCAGCTGTTTCACAACTTATAAAACTAAAAAAAATAAAATAAAATAAAATAAAAAATGTTGGAATGCATCATCCAACAAGAAAGTGTTAACTTTGATAACTATTTTGTTTGGGAAAATAAGCAAATCTTTTTGCTCCGGGTGGCATCTTAGCCACACCCAGTTTACGGATGACTTGTGGAGTTGAAAATTATGATCTTTTGTTAAAGACTGTGCATTAGTCATGCTTTAATCTCTTTTACATGGAAAAAAGTGTTTGAAAATATTTCTAGGAACAAAAACAAACAGAAAACTAAACACTGTTGAGCTTCAGAGAGCATGCTCGAAGCCAGAGCACTAATCAACCAGCTTATGTAAGTGCGTTGTATTTATGTTACTCTTTAGAGAGCAGAATGATTAAAAACCTCTAAATAGTCTTGCCCAGTAAGCACAAGAAAAATATTACAAAACAAAATGCTTTTTGAACATTTTTGGCTAAATCTTTATTTTATAAATTGTGCTCAATTTTCTCTTCCTAATTTGGACGTTTTTCCTTGTGCCCATAAAATGATTTCCTTTTTCAAGCCTGTGTAGAAACACCATGGTGTCTTCCTGACAAATGTTCATTAATCTCCCTCCAACACTTCACTTATGATCCATTATCTAGTCATCATATTCTAATTTACTAGACAGCATTATAACTTCATAAGTCAGAGTGAATTATTAAAAGCTCATCTGGTCTGCATCCTAAAACGATTACCGTCCACGCATACCGTCATTCATCCAACTGGCAAAACCCGAGTGAGAAAACAAAAACAGGAGCATGTTTACTTTAGGTTCATCTTTACTGATTGATTTCTGCAACATACAAACATTTTGGAGTGGGTCCGACTGTGTTTTTGTGCTGTGGCGGAGCAGGAGGGTGAGGCGGCGAATCAACTCGCGTTTTAGTCCAACGATGATTGAAGGAGAGGCTGGAGAGGAGGGGAGGCGTTCTCGCTTAAAAGGCACAGTTGGGCTCCCTTCTGAGTTTGAGGTTTGCATAAATGAGCGAAGCGGGGACAGAAAAACGAGGAAACGAAACAGTTAAATAGCCCGTGTCTCTTGTCCGCGCGAGTGTGTGTGTGTGTGTGTGTTTTCTTTTCGTGTAACTCTGAACCGCTTACATCTGCTTAATCGAAGCGATCAGTACAGTATCACAGCTTTAAGAAAAATTTGAACCCTAAGACGCTAAGTGAAGGACAACAAAAAAAAAACGTTAGCGCACAAAATAGCTGGGGGGGGGAGGGAGATTTTATAAAATGGAGAAGCTGAGTGAGCATGTGGGACGCAACAAACAACTTTGTGTACAAAAATAACTTTCAAAATATCATTTACAAAAACAATGAATTATTATTTCCATCATTAATATTATTATTATTAATACAATCTTATCCAGAGCCCACTGTAGTCATCATTCAGGGCCGAGTAGGCGGTCTGTGCTTCCTGCTCTGCCCACCAGTTAAAACATTTATTAACCTGTTAGCCATAAAGCCTGAAAACAACAACAACAAAAATTAAACCCTGAACATGTTCACCATAAGATATCAGAATAACTTACATTATCTATGTGGAGGAATCATCATCATCATCATCATCATGCACTGAACTTCTTACATCTTCTGTTAATACAAATATTTAAAGAATAGCAAAAAGAAACTGGAAACATTACATATCTAAGCTGCTCTGTACAGTTCTTTATCTTTATAGAAAAAAAACTATGCATATACTGTATAGCAACTGTTGCTTAAGAAAAAAAAAGAAAAAAAAAAAGGTGATGTTATTCAGAACAGAACAGTAGTCCTTGGTCTTTATAGCTGCTCCTGGTGTGTTATAGGGTCATTAACAGGTACACAGGTTAGCCTGTGTGTGTGTGTGTGTGTGTGTGATTGGGAGAGAGGAGCAGCTGGCGGATTAATATTTCTGTCAAATCCCAGTTTCAAGTGTTTCAGGTGTAACATTCAGGCTCTGAAACACAGATATACCGTGAGAAGATTTTTTTTTTTTTAAAAAGAGGACGAAAACAGTAACAGGATTTTGGCCAGAGCTACTGACACCCCTGGTGAAGATGTGGAGAAACTGTTCAAATAAAAAAATAAAAAAACCAAAAAATATTCATCTTTTATTAGAGAAACAATTTCTTACAGAGAAATGTTGAAAAGTCCAGCATGTAATGTCAGTACATTTATTCAGCGAGGGGACGAAAGTTAAGATTGTTTTTAAACAAAGTCACAGCTGGAACAATCGTTGGTCCCTCTTTCAATTAACTAAACGCAACTTAGACGTTTCATAATTTACACTTGTCCATTACTTTATAATTTACTAAGTTTCTATTAGCTCTAGAACAGTGATCAGAAGCTGTGCATTTTGGTCAGACAGGATTAATATTAAGCTTTTCCCACATTAATCAGTCCAGGTGGGCTTGGTGTGAAAGAATGAAGACGCTGAAAACCGTTTTGTGCCTGCTGTTAAGTACAGTAGTGGATCCGTGATGCTGTGGGCCCGTTTCTCTTCCACAAACAATGGGAATACTGATACGAGTACAAAACAACTAGAGCTCTTTCTGTTAATATTAATTAATAGCAGATATTCTTAAATAAAATTCTGATTTCAGTGTAGGATGGCGCTACTGGATTAAAATCTGAATTTAGTTTTAGGCTTTTGACAAATCTTTACCAGGGGGGCCCGAAAAGTGAAACCAGAAACACAAATTTTCTTTTTTAGATTTTAAGTTCTGATAAATAAACGATTGATATTTTCAATTTTGCAAATGACTTATGAATTTTCTACTGTTTCAAAAACTCTCCATCAATCTTGCAGCCCAGGCTACATTTAACTGATTGGTCTGACAGATTCAGTGAAAAAAATAAAAAATAAATAAATTTAAAAAAAAAAATTAAAACTTTCTGCACTTGAGTTTCTCAGACTCGGTAGGGAATAGATTAAAGCACATAAGAAAAAAAAAAAAAGAGGAAATTCTCACGTTAGTGACTCAAAGTTAGATTTAAAGGTAAAATCAAACTCTTTGAACTTAAGTGAAGGGGTGTCATTATTCAACAGTGTAATTAGCAAATCCCGTTAGCATTCGGACGCCAACAACAAAAAAAAAAAAAAAAGGGCGTAAAAATGGAAAACAGTGGAACCCGATAGAAAAATTACCGAATGGCGGAAAACCCTCAACGCTCCAGTGTCCATCCTGATCTCATGTGAAGTAGCACCAGAAAGAAGAGACAAAGAGAGAGAGACAGCAATACAAAAGAAGTCAGAGAAAGTACCCAGGCAACCTCTGCATACCCAACTGAAAAGGTTGCATCATGAGTACGAGATTATCTAAGTTCGCTTTGAAGATTGTTCGTTCAGCGGGAGGCAGCAGAACCACTTCTGGGACAGAGATCTGCTTCGTCGCTCTCTAGCTTTTCCTGATGAAGTTGCTTTTCTTCTCATTTGGCTTGAAACTTGTTTAAGAGTCTCTTAGATCTCGCTTCATTTAGTGTAAAAAAAAAAAGAAGAAAAAAAAAAAAAAAAGAAGGAGAAGTAGAAGAAGAAAGTAGGCTCTTCTTTTAGCCCGCTATCAGTATAACAGAGAGAGATCCCATGTCAGCTTCTACAGAAGTCAACACTGTGAGGAGCAAAAACTCAGGAATAAAAGTCTCATATTCTTTTCCTGTGTGCCAGCCTGTTCTTTTTTGTTGTTTTTTTGTTTGTTTGTTTTTTTGTTTTGTTTTGTTTGTTTGTGCCGACCAGTCAGGACTCCGTATCCTAACGAGGAAAAGCAGCCGATGGTGGATGGATCCTTCCATCATGTCCACTTCACAGGGGGTTCTCGAGGGCCTTTGGGCTGAGTGCAGCGGTTACCGAACCCTGAAAGGAGAAAGGCTCTTAGCGGGGTTTGCTTTTCTTTGGACGGAATAAATGGCATCTGAAAGTTTCCCTCCGTTCTGCCTGCTCTGAAAAGCCAAACGTTTCCTGCACACGCGGTCCAAAGCTAGATTTCCCTTCAGCAAAGGCAAACGCCACACGTCAAAAAATATGTCCGTCAGCAACACTCTGAAAATGTGCTGCGATTCTTTTTTTTTTTTTTTCCAGGCTCGTAGCCCTTGAAACCCTCTAAACTTATTCCCATTTTGTCACGTTCCAACCACAAACTTCAATGATGGTACATAACGAACGCAAAAGAAAAATGATGAATGTTTCTTTTTTCTTTTTGCAAATAAAAACCTGAAGTGGCTTGGATATATTTTAAGAACTGCAGTGTCGACACTTTGTGGAACAACAGCTCGCTGAAATTACAGCTGCAAGTCTTTTACGTCGTCTCTGTGCCAGCTTTGCACATTGAGAGACTGAAATAAGTTTGTAAATTCTTCTTTGTAAAATGGCAGATTGCATGGCGAACCTTTGAACATCAATATTCTTAATTTAATTTAGGTCTGAACTTTGACTGGGTCGTTCAAAAACACTCGTATGTCTGATGCTATTCTGCGTTGCACAATAGAGTCCAAGAACAAGACACAGAAATCACAAAATATGGAAAAGGAATACGAGTAATTTGTGCAATCCACCGAAGGTAACCAGTATGTCAAATATATTAATGAAGGTTGACGGCACACTTACCCACCCAGGTCTACTTGGCTAACTCCTGCTGTGCCGCCGTCTGATGCAGACACCGCCGGCGACGCCTCAGAACAATCAGAGCCATCTGGACATAAAAACAAAAAACAGACATATTAATTCAAATGAAAATGTTTTGACCAAATACTTAAAATGTGGATAAAGCTACAATATTTGCAACGAAGATCCTCATGCTTCTGTGAGACGTTCTTCTTTAAAAAGTTGCAAAATTGATCAAAGCTACTATAGGGAGGTAAATCCCACGCAGATTTAAAAGTCTGGCTTTTAAACGTTAAATTAGTCAGACTGGAGATGTTTTAGATCCGATCTCGGTTACTGCATGGGGTCGGATCTAGACTTTTTTTTTTTTTTTTTTACATGATTACCCAGAAAACCTTTTCCTCCTGCACTGTACGTCAGCTGCAGTCATAGTCCTAACCTGCAGCACTTTTATCACTCAGGCTTTATTATTTTCTTAATCTAATCAAGTGTTGTGTTTTTGTGCCCTTTTTACGATGACATTCACAGTGAAAGAAAGACTGTATTAGCTGCTGAAAACCTTCATGCAACACTATGCCGTTTCAAAAAGCGATCTCCAGTTGGAAGAAAATACCTCCCCTGCAGTACTGGTTTGGGACTCGATGGGACCAAATAAAAAGAAGTCTCTTGATTTTCTTAAAATTAAATTTGCACTCGGTGAAAACACTTCCAAGTCGAAGAGTAATTCCCTTCGGATGAAGCCGCAGACCTGCACCAGAACCGGTGAAGCAGTAAATTGGCACTAACAATCATTAAACAATCCTCACAGCACTCATTTTTATTGCACCTCTCCGCAGAGTTGTTTCATCTCGCCCTCTCCTTTATCTGCTTTACTCACACGCTTTCTCTAACAGCTGCCCCTGACTACTGTTGTCGCGATTATCGCTCAGCGGCTAATTCATGAAAGCTTTCCGTTTTCTTCGCCGCTCACCTCTGTGAGCGCTCGGACAAATCCGGAGGAAGACAAACGATCGTTGCTGCACACACCGAGGCAAAGAACCAAAACCACAACTGAGGGAAGAGGTCAACCGAAGTGTTTGTACCTTTTTGTGAGCAGCTCCATTCAGCTAAGGCTGACGTTTTCACTTCCAGGGGATCTGAGAGAGGAAGACGTTCGGTCAGTTTCACAGTTTTATTCACGGACACGTTAAGAGAAAAGAGGAACATACCGTCACGCACTCGTCACACTCGGGCTACGTTCAGAATCAGACTTCACCAAACCCAAACATAAAGAGGAAAATCTAAACCTTCGCTCCAAAGCGCGCCTCGGGTTTTAAATTCTTTGTCTGCTGTCCTGTCTTATAAACCCGCGTTGAAAAGATGTTCACACAACTTCAGTTCATCTTCAGTATAATTTATTTTGTGATGGACCAAAGGAGAATGAGGCACAAGTGGAAGATGGTAAGAAAAGGCAGTTTTCTTTTTTAAATCTGCAATCTGAAAAATGTGGCATGCGATTCTACTCTGTCCCCTTTACTCTGATACACCTAAGGAAAATCCCCAAGTCACCAAAACACCAGCAGCTGTAATCAGGGTTCCTTCACACTTGCAATGTCAAAATTCAAGATTTTTTCAAACACAATTTTTAAAATCAGTCTGGAAATCTAAGTGTAACACACCAGCAGGTGTCAGAAATCAAAGTTAATCGACGCCAACTAAGCAAAAATTACTGTAAAAAGCCGTGTATTCACCAGAAGTACTAATCTTTCTCTTTTAGACAATAAAAAACTCCAAATACACAAAAAAAAATGACTTTGTTTTTTCCTCATGTCATCTAGACATTAAAAAGTGTAATTCTTTACTTTTGCAAACTTTCAGAGAGCATATAAACCATTTACTACAAATCTAAACCATACTTTTGAGACTTTTTTTGAAAGAAAAACAACAACAACAAAAAAAACGGTGTACCCATTTCTTTCTAATCCACAATGATGCCCTACTTTCTGTTAGTCCATCACACAATGTGGGCTTAATGTGACAAAATCAGACCAAGTGTTGGTTGTGTGAATTCACGGGACATGTGGTCAATGCTGCCCTCTAGTGTTGAAACAGTGGTAAAGCCTCCAAGAAAAGCACCACTTCTGCTCCAACTTGTTCGTTTGGATGGCAGAGCATCACAAAACACGAGGAAAACGTCATTACCTTTCCACACACAGCGCTGAAATTAATCACAACCCAAAAGGCGCCAGCCAACCACTTGAACACATCTCTTCTTTGTATTTCAGCCTCACAGGTCCACCTGGCTCTGGGAAAAGATGGCCGACAGCATGGAGGCAACCCAGTGAATCTGCGCCACCGCAGATTCACCCACCTGAAGACTGTGACCAACACAAACGCACCTGTGGCCAGTATGAAGGACTCGGGGGTTCTCTCAGGGAGAGGGGGAGGAGAGTCGTCACTGTCCCAGCAGTCTGGGTTAAGAGGTCAGAGGGCAAACGAGAGGGAAAGTTAACAACTGGCCGACAAGAGAAAGAGAAGTGAAAGTAGTTTGCTGTGATTTGAAACGCTGCTCTTGTTTCCAATATCATTTATTAGTCGAGAGGGATTTGTGGCATTTTAATATTCATAAGATTGAGCACTAAAGTAATATTTATGCATGTTTTCTTTCACTGTAGAGATTCACCCTCCATCAGTATTACTGTATTTGAGGCCTCGATGACAAGCAGTTCACATCTTAAAAGTTTTATGCCTGCACACTGTGTAGGTTTGAAATTATATTAATCTATTTGTATATCGTGTTAATATTTTATGGGTGCGTGTTCCGGATTAGTCGACACGTTTATAGCGAGGCTGCAGATTTACTGCTGCTCTAGCTGGGTTGTTTGATGAAGAACGAGCTTGAGGCTTCGCCCGCCAGCGAGAGCCGATGTATTTTTCTTGAGCGTTTTCGATTTGATGGAGAAAATGTAGTTTCGCTGACGCTACTTGATAATGCGTGTAAAAATGAGCCTTTAATTACTTTATTATAGAAAACCACTGCTCGGTTCTTTATTAGTTTTTGTCACACATCTAAGCTAATAATTTTATCCTTCAGACGACTAAAATGCAGCCACACGTCTTCAAGTTTCTTATTAGTGCCAACCCCGATTAGAGCGACTCCGCTTAAAGTAACTTCCATCTTCTGTTGTTAGTTATGAATTCAATAATAAAGTTCATCCAACCACCACGATGCTGCAGCTTGCTCAGCGCGCCTCATTAACAAGCAGCCATTAGATCATTGCAACAATCAAACAGCCGCCGTTAGCCAGCGGTAAATAAAACCGCCGCTGCCGAAAAGAGTGCCAGAAAGCGAAGCAGGCCAAGACGCTCAACCTTATTAGCCCTCGTTACGACGGCGAGAACAAACATCTCCACCACCATAAACCAGAATCTTAAAGTAGAAAAAATAAAATAAAAAAAAAAAAGAGAGAGAGAGAGAGAATCAATAAAAGATCAGGAGGAATTTCAGCCTTTAAACAACCAATTGACTAAACCCACATCCTGTAGTCATGGCAGCAGAGGACAAAACAAGCCAACAGGGTGACACTGCTCTGTTCAGCCCCGCCGTGCACAAATGTGGCACCAATCAGTGTCATGCAGTGTTGATCCTTAGCCATCCGACATGCACTCAAGTTCACACACAACCGCAGGATTTCTCTCTCATTCCCGAACCGATCGCTCGGACAAACACAGACAGGAGGGGAGGAAAGAGGAGGGAGTTTGGACAGATGTTTGGCTGCAAATGCTTGCAGCATTCCTTGCAAACCAAACCAATTAGTGAGAAGTCATGCTTTTAAGCAAGACACATGGAGTAATAGTGCTGCACATTGTTCCCACTGCTTCTACTCATGTTTCCTGCGTGTCTTATGATGAGGTTTTTTTTTTTTTCCTTTAACTAAGTTAAGAGGATTTGTTGACATTTAGAGTGTCTTGCAAAAACAAAAGATCCTTGAATTTCCCCACATTTTGAAGCACAAACCAGAAAACAGACCAACACAAAGTTGGTCTGTTTGGAAGGAAAAGCCCTCAGCTTTACAACAAAAACACGTAATACATAAAGGCTAAAGAACGATCTAAATTTGTTTATTAAACTTTAGAGTTTTAATCAAGGTAAAATTACTATTGACAAATTTCTTGCAATGGAAAATGTTAAGTACAACAAAGTATTTGTATTTTAACTACCAAAACTTTAATAAGTGTAACTCCAGACACTTTTACTGAAGAGACCCAAATCACTTTTATTTAATTTCTTAAACTTGAATCCTGTTCTTACATCTGCAGATAAATTTGTTTAACCATGCCTAAAAGTATTTAAAAAATAGATGCTTTTCAATTAATAGAGAAGTTTTGGATCTACAATGAATAATATTAATTTTCAAAAAAAAAAATATATATATATATATATAAATTTCAATTATTTAACGTGAAAAGTGAAAAAGTGTGTAAGTGGATAAGCAAAAGGGTGTTAAGAGGTCATATATTGAATTAGGAAGTGAAAATAGCTTGACGTACTTGTTGGGCTTGCAGAGGGTGATGGAATGGTCTGCCCCGCGATGGACATGGGCAGCACCTTTCTGACCGACTGCTGGGTCCCAAGGGGAGGCGAGGTCGTCACGGTGCCCGTCGCCGTGGAGACGTTTTTGTGATGACCCTCCTTCAGCTCGGACATCTCCTCGTTCCCCTCCTCCTCCGAGTTATCGGAGTGCAGGGGGTTGGTGAAACTGAGCGCAGTCCTGACAGGAGTGGAGGAGGACGACGACGAGGAGGAGGAGGAGGATATGTGGGACGAGGAAGAGGAGGATGGAGCGGCTCTGTCCGAGGAGGAGGAGGAGGAGGTCTTGGGAAACGGTTTTTCTGGGCTGTTGCAGGAGTGCGTCCATGTCGCGTGGCCGGGTTTCGCGTCTTGCGTCTTCTCCTTGCCGTCACTCGTCACGGGAAGGTGGTTGGGTCTGGTCAGGACGCCCTCGTCCGAGTGGCTCTCTCCGCATCTGCCCGACCCCCCCTCCGTCCCGGAGTCCTCCGACAGAGAAGAGCTGGACGTCAGCAGGGTTTGACCGGACCGGGCTTTGAAGGCGTGGGCCCTCTGCAGCGTGGAACCACTGGTGGTCGAATTGTTGGCTCCCGTGGAGGAGGAGGTGTCGAAGCTGCGTGGTCCTTCCTGCAGCGGAACCTTTTTGATCTCTATGCTGAGCTTCCTCTCGATCCGAGGGGCGCCGCAGCACTCGACGACCGGCGACAGGGGCGAGGAGGGCGTCGGAGTCTGGCTCGGGCCCGACTCGGACTTTGTCGACGTCGACGAGGATTTGCTGTTGTAGTTGTCATTGAGGTCCAGGTGCGAGACCTGGGTCTGCCGGTTCTGGCTTTGTACATTCGGATCTCTGCGCTCTGATTGGCTGGAAGGTTTGTTGAGTCTGGATTCGGACCGGTTCTGCTGCTTGTTCGCTTCTTCGTTCTGTAACCAGCAAGAAACGAGACGCGTGATCTCCAGAAAGAAAAAAACATCCAACAAAGCAATCTTTGATTTCCTTATTCTGCATGGGATGAAACAATCCTAGATTTAACCTGATAATTATTATAAATAAAGCCAAACGTTTCGGCACACATAGCTAATTCTGGAACTTGTTGCTTCCTTTCTAGGAAGTCTGTTTTACAAGAGCATTTTCTCATTTTGTACCATTTAAAAACTATAAATTAAAGCTAATAGTAAAGACAAGAACAAATCAGGTTTTATGGTGCAGTCAACATCTGTTTAAAAGCACGTTAAGCTGTGAAACAGTAACAACTTAATGTCAGTCGGACTTGAAGACAATCGGTCAAACGATGAGAGTAAAACCTGAGCAGCTTTGTTTGTATTCATGACTGTATCTCAATCAGGTATGATTTTGTTGGTGGGTCATTCGGTTAATCTGGTGATATGCGAGTAAAATTTTGTTTTGTTGGTGTAAAAAAAATCCAACAATGGCTCATGGGGACTTTTACAGACAATTTGAAAGGACAAACACAAAACTTTCCTGTGACATATTCCAACAGCACAAATATTTTAATAAATGGTAATAGTTTAGTATGTAGTCTATTGTTGTTTGTTTTTTGTTGTTGTTGTTTTCGGCCTGTGGTGTTTTCCAACCACATTCATACAGTTTATGAGATCTACTCATTTCCTTATTCAAGCTGAGCCACAGTAGAGTTTGTTATTGCTTTGTGGGAGAAGAGATGAGAGAATCAGACCTTGGGGGAATTTGTTAATTTTCTTAAATCACTTTTTATTCAAAGATCTTTATGTAAATAAAGCCTCAGTCATATCTAATTTCATTTTGGACGCACAACAAAGCTTCTACAAACAAACTTAATGTTCAGTTAGCATTAAGTTTATGTTCATAACATTTTAAATTAACTTTACTGAAATGCTGCGCTCTCTTCTGTCTTTCATGCGTTTTTTTACACATCCTTCAGTCACACGTAAAACGAACAAATATGTTAAAAAAATATATATATATTTCAGCTTACCTCTTTCAGGCTGCGCTGCGTGGTATCCAGGACATGTATGACAGGTTTGGGATGGTAGCGGTCGTTGTCCTGCCGCACGTTGGTGACGGTGGGGAAAGCAGACGGGGGAGACGGGGTGAGAATCGGGGGGACGGGGTGAGCCTCAGGGGGCTGGAGAATCTCCTCCTTAACGTCGCCTTCCACCTGCGAACTACGCCAAACCACAGAGGAAGAAAATGATTACTTTCTGATGGAAAGAGGGTACAAAGACAATTTTACAATCATCCCACTTGTTTCACACCGTTTAATGGGGGAAAAGGAATATTCCTCAGATATCACCACTAGAGGGCAGACTTTTAAAACGTCTGGCAGTAAAAAGTCTAGAGTTGCTCTGCTGAGACAAATTACATGTTCCCAGATTTCAGGGTTCGACTCCCAGAACGTTTTCAGCCCATATTTTGTGGATTTACAGTAAAAATAGTATCTGAACAAACTGGAAAAAACATCCTTAGAATCTGATTTATTTCTCTTTAACAAACTTTAGATTCAGGGATTATAAATTACCCGCAAAAAAGAAAGAAAGAAAGAGATCTCTAAAATGCGCAAGTAGTCACGCAGAGCTTTAAATTGTCGCACAAATTCAGCTGCATATAGGTGTGAATCACACACAGGATACAAAGTTACACACCAAGGCATAGCTCCACTCCCCCAAAACGGGCGTTTACACGCGCATGCAACGGCAGCGGTGCGGAGAAACAGCGAAAGGATGTGGTGGTGTGCTAATTCAAGAGCACATGACTGAGGCTAGAGCCGAGGCAGGAGTGACTGCACATGATGCTGCGTGGATCAAAGGCAGACAGACAGAAAGTCAGACAGGCTAGAAGCACAAGGGGATTTCCTTTCCTTCTGTGCGGCAGTCGGGCCATAAAAGCCTTTGTCATTAAGCCTAAGTTTCTGGAGTACAGCTGTCACTGGCTTATTCTTTGAAAGAGGCTGCGAACGGCTGAGCTTCTCACTGTTTATTTGCCTCTGCGTTACGCTCAGCTGAGGCAGAGGAAGCTGTTAGACATTGAAGAAAGTAAGCCCACGAGATGTTTGATTTCCTTCGCAAATACCGTAAAAGTCAGAACGTCGAGTTATTATTAAGTCTTGTTTTTTTGAAGCGCAGAGCTTTTCAAACTGTGATAATGTCCTGCTGAATCCCAAAAGTCACCTACTGGAAACTGTAGCACATTAGGCTAAACATTATCCTTTTGCTTTCTTTAATAAAGAAAAAAAAAACACCCAAGCGGATATCTAATTTTTATCATATTTGTTGCCTCGAGAGGGAAAAAAAAAAACGATATGGCGACTTCCGGTGACGCTGATCGCTTCTGTAGGGATTTGGATTATCTGTATAAAGCTACATGAGATTAAACTTGAATGATTTCTAGGGGACAGAAATCATTGTTCTCTAGAAACGAGCGACACCGACACCAAAACCAGCACAAGAAAACGATTGATCAAATTAATCATAATGAACACGTTATTCAAATAATCGTCAACTAACTTAAGTAACTCATCTATTGCTAAGACGCCATTTTCAAAAAAAAAAAAACATACTCAGAGCAGTAAGTTAACAAAAACTGTACAAGTAGTATTTTGTATTTTTGAAGTTTATTGAATGTTAAGTCAGTAAAGTAATGTGTTGCTGTCTTTTAGGCAAGAAAATGTTTCTTTCCTTATTTAAAAAAGGAATTGATTTGAATCGTTTTCTGTCTTCCAAATATTGTATGAAAACGACTTAAGTTGTTAAATGAAAAATCAATTAATTGTCGGAATAATCGAAGGAATACTTGATTACTAAAACAATGGTTCGCTCCAGCCATGCTTATCTTTATTCCTAGTCCATTAAAGTGGTCTAAATAAACTTTATAAGCTTTCTCTGGACTTCAGTTGCTCTTTCAATCCTTACTAACTAAATTGCCTAATGAACAATTGCAGGAAAAAAAAAACCCTCAATGTTTTCTCATTAAGAAAGGTCATCCATCAGCTTATTGTCTTCAGTGTAATTTCTTTTTTAATAATAATAATCCATATCTCACGATCTTAGGTGAAGTTAGGAACACTATACACTGGTAAATCATGAACTTGTTTATTTTCTGGCATAGCCCTTCCTTCACCTCGACAGACCGAAGCATCACTCGTCCAAAGAAAAACTCCGAGGGAGATTCAGAAACCTCAGAGAACCACGGAGAAGATCAGCTTAAAAGGTCAGGAAAAAGGTTTGGCTGCTTGGAAGCGAAATGTGATGTAGCGAGGGACGATTCAAACACTTCATAATAAGATTAACAAAGGCATCTGTTAAGTAACTCCTACATGTTACTCTGAGTTCTCCTCAGAGAGCGCGTTGCGTTTTAAACAGCGGCACGCTTTCTGCTGCTCGCTTTCGTAGACGCTCCGGACGGGAAGCTGAGAAAGACGTCTGCTTGTCCCCCGTCGCATTTCAATAGATTCACACTGACAACCAAGAAAAGTGGCAAACCGTCACACATATTTAGGTCGCTCCCTCACTCCGTCGAGCCGGACAAGTAAGGCTCTTTTCTTTCAATATTTAAGATGTTGGAAACGCACTCCGAGCGAGAACTGAGGAGCTATTGAGGACTAAAAGCCGAGTGTGGTGGAAATAAGCACGTGACAAAGCTATGACTCCACTCCTGCTGTATCTCCCTCCTTCTCTCTCTCTCTCACACACACACACGCAACTATAATTTCCCTTAAACACACACACACTCACCAAAGTGACCCAGTGGGAGTGCGGCTGGCAGAACGTGGCTTATCTGGATAAAAATAGCTCGTACCATCAGCAGATTAGGCTTGAATAAGTTCGTCACATTACTTCTTGAGAGACAGAGGAGGCATACTGAGACGTCAGAGGAGGACAAGAGGCGTAAGAGACACCCAGAATACCCTCTTCTGTCCCACTTCCAGGAAATCTTGCTCTCTTGGCTGCGTCTCAAACTTCAAATTTGTGTGTTTTAATAAGAACAGGAAAGAAGCTCTTCAGTAAACAGCTCACTTACAGCCACATCCTAAAATTAGGAGCTCTGGAAAATGTTTCCCATCAAACCAGTTAGTTTAAAAAAAAAGGGGGGGGAAGGAAAGTAAGAGTAGAAGAGTCTGAATTTGATAAGAGAAAGCAATAAAAATGTATATCGGATGCCGTCATATTTATGAAACTAGAACTTCGGTTGAGTTTGTTTACCTCAAGAATGGTTGGTGGTGTAGTGGTAACAGAAAAATATTTTCCTGACAAAAGAAACGACGCTGAGACAAATGTTTGAGAATGTGAAATTTCTCCAAAAACAACTTTAAAGTAACTTTTACTTTCTGATGTGTACTCTGTACAAAAACATCTGCTAATATGCATTTAAACTAAACTGAACATGTTTACTCATAATAGGCAGTTGCTCTTCTGCCTTGATTTTTTTTTTCAGTGTCTGAGCCACATGAATGAGAGGTTACAAAATATTTATGTTCTGACTTTTAATTACCAACATGTAATATTAGCCAGTCGTTACTTTTTAGGTTGGAGACAATGAACATGGCTGACATGTTGTGACTTTTAGCTGCTTCCCTTCACTGATTTTTACAAAGCAACTGCACAGCTTGTTAATATAAAATATTATGGGAAACAGTTACGAGGAGAAATGGGGGAACTAATGATAATACTGGTCAGAAATGGAGCACGAATAATTACGTTTATCTGAATGATGCCAGAATTTTCCACTTATCCATTTTCTTTGTCAAAAAATTCAATTCTCTTAATTAAAATTTTTTGGCTAAAGTGGTCTCTCATCAGAGAATTACAGGGACTGTCACAACGTTTTACATCTCCAAGTACTTTACGTCTAGATCAAGCTTCTGATTTTTGACAATGTTTGTCCTAGAATTAACTTTTTGCTGGACAAATCGCCATTCCTACAATCTATTTCAATCATTTTTGAACATTTTTCAACTTTGGACATGGATATGACCTAAGCCGTTGTAATCTGCCAGCCTGAAACTAACAGAAATAAAAGCCTTTAAATCTAGTTGGCGAGTTTAAACCTAAGACGCCATCTTCAAAAATATCTAGGCTGTTTTGCTGCAGCTGCATGTGCAAACAATGAATTCACTAAATGCCACAAATGATCAAGCAGAGGAACAACCACCACCCAATATGGTGCTAAAGCAAACATTTCTTGTCAGAACTTTATGTAACAAGATATGAAATGATACACTGCCTCCTGGCAAGAAGACATCCTCTCAGACATTAAAGCTTTAGTGCTGAGGCAACTTTTAGGCATCCTCCAACCTTGTTAAAAAAGGTGTCAATTGTTAAATTTGGCCAGATGTAATGGGGGGGGGGAGGGTAATGCATTCTGTGGATAGACTGTAAGAAGTGGAGCAGAACCCCTGATGGGCACATACTGCACAGCTGAAGTAGAAAAATGTCAAGTGAAGGAAGGAGAGAGGGGGAAGAAATGAGCAAAAAACAAGATGAAAAAGAAACAGAGAGAAATAATATATTTTTAAAAAAAAGAGGATAACTATGTATTCATATATATAAAACATATCAAAGAGTTGGTGTCTGAAACAAAGCGTCTGGATGTCCTTTAAAGGCTTTTTGTTTACAGAGAAAGATGAAAACTTTAACTCGCCTTGGGTCTTGTTGTATCCAACCTTATGTAGAGTTGCACAGTGTTGCAGCGAGTTGCAAAAATGATTTATAGATACAACTTTGCCTCTGGTAGCCATAACCAGCCAAACAAAGGCTTACTGAAAAACCAAAGGCTGGCTGCATCTGCGCGTTGATTCAGAGCACAGGAGCCAGGAACCGCTTCTCTGAGAGAAACGTACAGTATTGTAATTTATTAATTTCTTCTCCCAACATAACACCACCTCTGCTATGTTCAACAGCGTTCCGCCTACTCATCAACCCGGGGATGAACCTGTTAATTCATCTCTGTGGAGGATGAATGTGACTTGGTTTATTCTCAACGGTTGAGTTTAGCTTGTTTGGTAGGAATATTAACAGGGAAACAGGAGGAGGAGGACGAAGTATTACCTGCGAATCCGAGGAGGTTTAGGCGGCGGAGTGTCCCATCGTTCCTCGTCTGACTGAATGCTCGTTTTGTCCGGACTGCTTTCGTTCTGGACAGACAAAAAAAAAAAAAAAAATTCCTCTCAGATTCATCCTCAACTAAAGCCATTTTTGGCCCCATTTTTCTTGGCTGAATTGTAAATGATCTTTCCGTTGAGTGTCCCGATTTAGTATATATGTGTTAAGTTTCTAGAAATATAAATCAGAATTTCTCAGAACAAAATGGATGTTTACATCTACTTAACTTTATGTTTAAGTTCTGAACAGAAAAGGTGCAGAATGTCAAAAAAAACAAACAAAAAAAATTCAAGCTTATGAAAAAAATCTGTAAGGAAAATAGGCAAGAAACTAAAACCTGTTATAAAATGTTTCAAGGTCAAAATTAAAAGTGACATCATGAAATGGATAACACAAATATTTGGGGATTTAGCTTCAAACTTTGTTAAAGTGATCAGGATGATAATGTCCACTCTTCCAAATTTGAATAGCATCACTACAGTCGCCTTACAAACTCACATCTTTTTCAAATTCGAAGTTTATGGCTAAACTTTATTCATTTTCTAGTCTTTGTTTCTTCCCCTTAGGATGCTCTAAGAGTAAAAGTTACAAGTGACTGCAGCAAAACTGTTCTGAAAGATACCGCCTTCCTCCAAACTACTCTTCTTTCTTCTTCTCTTGCTTTTATTTTTATTTCGCCTGCGAAAACCTTAATGGTCATAAACTCTTATAAACTCTTAGACTTGAACCTCCGGTAGGAAACGTCCAGAGCTGTGGCTCACTAATCGGACACGTACGCGAACATGTTTGGTGGGAGACCGTCGAGCGCAGAAACGAGTGTGGGATGCGCGTATGTGTAGGCTTCATTGTTCCCGTTGCCGTGTGGAGCACCTTGTGTGGGCGTCGTAATCACCAACAATGGCTGACTGGACATGAGTCAGTCTGCGAAGGAACCGAGTCAGATCATCTCTCCGATAAACGGTGGGCTGAGACAGGAGTTTGTTTTTGGACTACCAAACAAGTAACAGAAGTTTTAATCGGCAGCGAAAAACATAATGTAATAAGAGTTTAAATGCAACAATGTACTAAAGTGTCACATTTTATTGTTATTTTGTCATGTCCTACTCTTGTAGGAATATTGAAATTATTTAATTGTTTTTGTTTGCTCTTGTTTATTGCATCAAACAACACAAATTAATGTGTAATGAGTAGGTTTCATTAGAACATCGAAGATAGTTTTCCATGCAAAAAGAACCTTAATGTGATGTTTTTAGGGGAATAAGGACCGTTTCCATTTAGTGCAGACTTATTTCTTGTTAGATTTGTCAGCCATTGTTTTGGAATCATCCACACATCAATCCTGAACGTTTCCGAACACCGCTGCGAGATCCGGGGAGGGCAAATTAAAAATCTGGCGGCTCAGACGTAGCGGAGGCGTGTGGGAGCGTCGCTCTCATCGGGATGTGATCTCTGCAGAGAAACAGCCGGATCAGCTGCACCCAGCAACATTGTTTAATAACGTGCGACAGAAAGTCATCGTTTTCCAGTTCCTTTCTCTTTTTATATACTGTAATACAGTATCTTATGTTTAGTAAGATCCTGGTTCACCTTCAGAGACAAAGACGCACTGTGGAAAACGGATACTCTGTATTTTTAAAGACTGAAAGATTTGTTGCCCTTTCCCAAAGGACTGGTGTCTCTCGCTTACCAGTCAAAGTGCATCGAAGTCAGCGCTTCCTGAGCAGGAAGTCGTCTGGTTTGCTGCCAGAACTCTCATCATCTGTGGTTTTTAGACATTACAATCTTCCTATTGTTTGCACAGAAGCACATCACAAACAGTTGTCGAAGAGATAACTGTGAGGAAGACTCCGAGCAAGTTGTGATGATATTGAAATCATGTGGTAATCTTACCAAACCCTGCAAGCAGACATTTCGTAAGCCCTCACAACATTATGCCAGCTTTAAAAGAAGAAAGAGGCATGATATGGCGCTAAAAGAGGTTGAACTTTTTCACTTCTGACATTAGAACAACTATCCAACTGGGTTTTTATGTCCTAAACTCACAGAAGGTAATGCATAATTGTAAAGTGGAAGACAAAAAAAGTTACATGATTAAATGAACAAGTAACAAAGTGTAACATTTTGGATGCATTCAGCCCATTTTATTCTGTTACCAATAAATAAAACAATGTTTATTTGTTATCCACATGTTGGCTTACCACAAACCAGCATGTGTGAAGTTTTTCTGGTCCGAGGGACGAAAATGAAACTTTTCTTTGTGCAAACAACTTAGTGTTGCAGAAAACTAGGAAGAGCACAAAGTTCACATTGTAAAACACGGTGATGGGGGCATCATGGGTTTTCAGTAAGAGGGCTGGTTTATAGGAAAACTGTGTGCAGTTACAGGTTTGAAAATCACCTATAATCACCTGGTTTTACTCATCTCAATTCTGCGAATTTGAGAGAAGCGTTACATTAACTTTTTGACTCCGAATCGCCTCTGAAACAATACGAGATCGGTTTGTACCCATGTTTTCGGGATGATGGAAGACAGCATTAAAAAAAAAAAGCCTCAATGAGGTCAGTGGTGGCAGACAGAACAAAAGTTTCTTTTTTTTTTTTTTTCTTCCAACAGAGGAGCTTGTCTGGCATTAGCCTGAACGAAAAGATCTTTTTCCTTCAGGCACAAAACCTCCTGATCTTCTGATTTTGCAGACAGCAGACTCTCCTCCTTTTCTCCTTCCCTCTATCCCCCCTGTGACTAATTATTTGGCTTCTTCCTATTCCAAGTGTTACTCAGCCACATCCTGTCTCTCCAACACCAGACGAAATCAGTGCAATGTGAGCGTGTCGTACCATGCCATCATGTATCTGCGTGCTGGTGGGGCTCTCCAGAAGCTGCAGTTGTTTCTCGAAAAGCTGAGCGATTGCTCTGTGAACCAACTCGTACTGCTCCTAGACGGAGAGAGGATAAGGGCAAAGTGAGTTAGGCCAAGCAGAGGAATAAAATGTTGATGGTACAATTGAAAGATTCAGTGACTCGGTTTAAATTGAAAAACTCATTCATCTTGAATGTTTCTCTTAGGAAGAGGCCATAAATCTAAAACATGTTAAAAAAAAAAAAAAAAAAAAAGTCCCATCTGCACGGTATGGAAATTTACAAGAAACAAACTTCAAAAATACCGGCGTGACAGCCTCAACCGGCAAAACAAGAATGTTGTGACATTCAAACAGCCTGGAGGAAAAGTCAGACAAGAATCAGGGAAGACGACCGCAGCAGATTGAAACAAATCCAGTCCGTCTTAAAATGAAAGAAATCGATGTAACTGGGTCCAACTTGCTTTATACCAATCAATAATGTTATAATAATAAAATCATAATAAATGCATTTCCTAAATACTGATGATCTGCATAAGTGACCAGGATTAGCCAGTTTTGAGATAGCGAACTGGTTGGAAAGTAAAACGAAAAACAAAAGGAAAAGAATCTGTTCTTTGCCTACTTAAAAAAAAAAAAAACAGGAAAATAATGTAATATTTTTCATTCAGCTAACGCTTATCAAGCACATTGTACTCCAATTACACAGTGGCAAAGATAGCAGTGAGGGAAGGATGCAATTTTTTTTTATTCAAATTGTGAGTCCAACCTCAGCAGATAACTGGAAGGCAACTACAGCAAAGTCGTGAACCACCAATATTACAGATCATTTAAAATAATAATCTAATGATCATTTTAAATGATCTGTAATATTTTTACTGATCACTTCATCACACGTTGTGACATCAGAAGTGATGTCATGCCTCCCTAAATAAAGGAATCTATTTTGGATGCTGTTAGAAGAAGAAGAAAGAACAAACCTTTGTTTGGACAGCAGAGTGCCGCTGCGTCCTCATCTCCTGGATCAACCGGAAAACGTTAAAGTCCTCTGGAATTTTCTAGAAAGAGATCGGACCGGACGTTGGATTTTAAGGTTGATGTGAAGAGTAAGGTGTCAAAGGTTCGCATTTGTTGCATACCCCAGCTTTGAGGAGATTCCACGTGTAGTCAATGGCACAAATAGCCCCCGTCCTCCCACAACCTGCACTGCACACACAGACAGATCCCATCAAAGAAAGCACTCACACACACGAGAGTTTTAATCCTACGGCTAAGATGAAAACTCTCCAAATGCTAGCTTTATTTTCTATTAGCGGCCAGGCAATATACACTTAAAAAAAAAAAATTATGTTTAAAAAGCAGAGCAACACCTTCTGCAGACAGGAAGGCGACAGAAGCTATAGAGGCTAATCGCTGCTTATGTATAAAATCATAAAACCTGATCTCATGGTGTCAAACAGCTTGCTGTGACTCTAAAGAGCCGGCTGTCTCCACATCAGCCCACACAAAGCATCTTCACAGAAACAGACACGCAGCTTTGAGTCCTGCTGGGTGACACAGGAACCCGGAAACGTCCCCAGGCTGCTCATTACAGCTTATTACACACACATGGGGGCAAGCCTGTGCGCTTGTGAGCAAACACATGTGCAGTGGTGAACTTGAACGCTCATTCTTTCAATGCAATCTCTTTAATAATTATGGGTTCTTAATAATTGCTAATAATTATTTTTGATCAGTACGATAGCACAAAGCTATTGTAATACGTGTTATAATAATCACCTATCTTTTGCTATTTTTGCGTGAGCTTACCTGCAATGAACACAAATAGGAACGTCGTCGTTCTCCTGGTATTTCCTCATCAGTCCGATCATATCCAATATGGAGTCGAACGACGATGGGACGTCGTGATCAGGCCAGTTGATGTAATGGAACTGAGATATCCTCCGTGTTTCCTGCAGGGCAGAATAAATAGTTAAAACTTAAAGAATTTGGTTTTCTGCCTTGTTTTACAACAAAAAAATAACTAAAAATCTGAAGAGTGGAATGGGTTTTCAGCCCCCCCACTCTAAGCCAATACAAAACCGCATTTTGCTGCAACAGCTGCAAGTCTTCCAGGGCACATCGCTACCAGCTTTGCACATCTGGAAACTGAAATTGTTGCAGCTTCTTTGCTAAGTAGCTCAGTTAGAGTGGATGGTGAGCATCTGTGAATGTCAACGTTCTCAGCTGGTTTTAGGGTTGAACTCAGACTGGGATTCTGTACGCTCGGATCGAAATTACTGCCCTCTGAACATCTTGCCATGAAGACCAAAATGTCCAAGTCGAAAGCAGCAGTGGGGAACAGAAATTGGATTTTTTTTTTCTTTTTTTCCAAGAAAAGACGCATCAATATAGGAAAAACAAAACAGACAACATAAAAATGTTCTGATTCTTCTGTCTTCTGTTTCTCAGTTTAAAAATAAAAGTTTTTTTTGTGTGGTTCAAGTTACTAAAAGTCAACCTCTGTTTCCAGTCTTTAGCAGGAGTGTTTTCTCATGACTGCCCTGTATTTAGCTCCACCCACCTTTACATTTACTCTGACCACTTCCTGCTTTAAAAAAAAAAAAAAAAAAAATTGCATCCGGATGATGCTGTCGCCACTATGTTTCATCATAGAAAGTGTGTGCATGGGTTGATGCAGAGTTAGTTTTCCACACCCTCCGAGGCCTTCACAGAACAGCTGAGCGTCTACTGAGATTATGCAACACAAATTGACGATTTACTGCTGTATTTAAGGCACCTGATTACGCTGAATTTCATTTAGGGGTGTTAGAGTTAAAGAGAAACAACACTTTCCAGCTTTATTTAAAAGACATAAAGCTCATGCTTTTTCTTGAACTATAAAACACAAAGACTTGTGATCGTTGGTTCTTTTAGGACTTACGTTGTTATTCTGCACCGTCAAAGTCCTGATAAAGTAGTCCGTTCTTTGCTGCTCTGATTCCTTGAAAACAAAGATAAAGGAAAAAAAAAAAAAAAAATTTTAATAATCCCTGATCGAAGCCACACATCACAACACAAAGTGTGAGATGAACACTTCTCTTTATTTTCAACACACGCCTGTAATATCGCACGTTGCTCGACTTACACAGGAGATTCTGAAAGGGCCGAAACTCAAGGGCTCCTCGTCTCGTGATGGAAAATACCGCTCGCATTTTTTCTAAAGCAGAACAGAGAAGCCGTTACCACAAAGGGAGATGCCGCTGCTTCCTGCGCACACAAACCTTTTGTAGTCTGAAGTACACAATCGAAGTGACAAGAACAAAGGCAGAGAGAATTAAAGCAGAAAAAGACAGAAAATTCTATTTTGACAAGCGTGGACTCTCAACTGCTGAAGGATGTTTGGTGAGGGAAAAAGTACAAACAAGACTTGCGATTCATTTATATATTGATCAGTTTTTTTGTTGTTGTTGTTGTTTGCGTTCATTTTGTCTTACACAAATATTAAATTCTGATTTTATATAGTCACATCTCTTCAGATTCTTAGTTTTATTTTTTTTTAATAGACAGAAATCTGTCAACTATCCTCTTGGAATGGTTTTCTTCTTTTCTGTAACTTAAAGTTTTCTTGCTATAACACCGCTTCCCCTTTAATTAATCATGCATGAAAGTTTTTAAAATATGCTGTGCTTGAACAGATTAGAAAGATTTTTTCAAATCAATCTAAATAAACACAATCGAATACGCAAAGTTGATTTAATCTTCCTCCCACAGCCATAAGCTGCTTATTTAAATACCTCATCAGATATGGGCATAATAGTGTACAGACGAGGAAATGCAAGCAATTTATTTCAACCCAAATGTGGATCAATTGAAATTTATTCAAGGTTTTTTTTTTTTTTTTTAAATATAAAGACGTTCCAGTACATGCAGGAGAGGCAAAATCATCCACAAAGAAACGCTAGAAAATCTGAAAATCTTCAAGGATAAACAACCTTCAACAGTAATGCTAAAGAATGAAACCCTGGGAGGGGGGGGGGGAAATAATTCTTTGAGATTTTGTTGAAGGTTGTGCAGAGACGGCGTGCCGCAGCTTCGATGGAGGCAATAAAAACAGAGATATCTGTGCAAACACTTTGAACTGACACGAGTCACAGCCTTACCCTTCCCATCTCAAATTCTCGACAAGCCATTACAATAACCTGCAGAGACACAGACAGGAGGAATTAATACAAATCAATCCATGCACAAAGCTGAACACTGCATGTTTGGCAAGAGATGCCTAATATGATCTGAGCACGCTGTGTTTGTGCAGGTTTTGATACGAGGAAACGATTTCCAACACATTTTCATGATGCCTGTAATCCTGAATCATTTTAACAAACACCGTTCAGGAGGTTGCTACAACTGTACAGAATACATAGATGAGGAAATGTGCATATGAATGAGTAAATACACATAGAAATACAAATACAGATCATCATTTAGATTTGCAGCCGTTTTATTTCATAAAACATTAAAATAGTTAATATCATGCTGTGCCCCTCGCTGGCCCCAATACTGAAATTGGTAACACTTTATTTGAAGGGGGTTGAATAAGACTGTCATGACACTGTCATAAACATGAATAAGCCTTCATGAATATTTATGACTATTGTCATAAAGCGTCATTCGGTAAATTATGACACTTTTAATACAAAGTTGACATTATTCAAAATGTCTTTGTTATGACAACTTGACATTAACCAGGAAATCATTACTGTTTAAACTTTACCTTTAATAACATAAAGTTACCTAATTTTTAAAGTGCAATCAGTAATACTTTTATAACAAATTTATGTCAGTAATTATTTCTTGGTTAATGTCAAGATTGAATCATGTCAACTTTGTATTAAAAGTGTCATAATTTACCGAATGACGCTTTATGACAACAGTCATAAATATTCATGAAGGCTTATTCATGTTCATGAGAGGTGTTATGTCATGTTTATGACAGTGTCATGACAGGCTTATTCACCCCGCTTCAAATAAAGTGTTACCTTGAAATTCAATATTACTGCTTTGCCTGCTCGTTTTTAAAAGCTTTCAAACATGATTTCTTGAGTATGTTTTGACCTACATGAACATTCATGCAGAGTCAACTCTGAGACCTTAACCCTTCACACAAAGTAACACGTTTGTGGCTTCCTGTTCGTGCTAAACTAGAGCGCCAAGACGGCTTATAAATGATTTTCGACTTGATTTGATCACCTCTTGTTCGAAAATGAAGGTACTTGAATGGATCAACTCTGAATTTCAAATGGATATGGATAAAAAAAACATAAGAACTGGAATATTTCACACTTTTCACAGATTCTTTGAAATAAATTTTGTGATTCATAAAAACTTTGATCCTTTGTTTGTGTTCTATACGTACGATGTATGATTCTGTGAAGGAATTTGGTTTTATTTTAACAGATTCTCCTGAGAAAAATAATATATTTTTAGGTCAGACACATCATTTTGACTCATGAAAATGATTTTTATACAAAAAAAAAAAAAAAAAATTCTAAAAAGCAGGAATATAACCTAAAATGCCTGTTTTTACTCTGGTTCATGTTTGTGTAACCTTCCCAGCACCTAAATAACGACTCTCCTATACGGTGGATCACACTCACAGCGACGTTGTACTCCCAGTTCATCCTCCAGAAGTCGATGACCGTGTTTGGGAGCGGACCCTGAGTTGCGATGTAGGCTTTCGGGCCGTCAACACCCTGAATAAACATGCAGTGGAAGAATAAATCAAAGAAATCATGGTCTGAATCAAAACTAGACGACATAATCTCACTGCTTAATCCACATGATATACATATATATATATATATATATATATATATATATATATATATATATATTTTTTTTTTTTTTTTTTTTTTTTCCTAAAAAAAATTTAAATTAAATGTAATTTTTGTAGTATTGGGTTTTTTTTTTTGCAT